TGAAACTCCCTCTCCTTCACACCTCTAAAAGGGACAGAAGATATCTCCAGTTTCCAGTCTGGCAACCCTAGCTCCTACCTAACTCTGCTCAAGTGGCCAAAATTTCAGGAGGTGCTGTTTATAAACCAACTACCCCTATGGCCACTGGGAGGTCACATTAGTGCCCTCCATGAGATTCCTAGGGGCTATGGGGGCATTTTTTGCCATTTTTCCCCAGCCCTCCCTGGGCCATTTGGGCCCAGAAAAGAACTTTTTACGTGCTAGGGAATGACTTCCTATTTCAGAAAAAGGTTTTCCTATTTTAGACCTTCCAGTTGTAGAAAAAGGCCTCTCTTGGGCCTAAAATGTCAGAGAGGGCAAAAATGCCCCTGCCAGCCTAGACAGCATTTGATAGCAGTATTTTTCAGGTGTGTGTGTGTGTGTGTAGCCCTCCAAGATTTGACATTTGGGAGCCATTTTTCCTCCAAAGAAGTATTTTCCGCCAAAACATAATTATTTTTGACCCCTAGGGAGATGTCTCTGAGGGCTTCATGCAAGCTATGGGCTACACTTTGCCCACTCCTGTCTTAAGAAAAAGGTGGGCAACTTAATCAGTCCAGAGGGGGCCAATTTTCTGCCCTGAAGATGCACAGACTGGGAAAAAACTAAGAAAGAAAGAAAGAAAGAAAAAGAAAGAAAGAAAGAAAGGCATCTGAGAAAACACCAAATCTACAAAAACTCATGCTACAATTTCTTTTGCTCAGTTAATCTCAAAGGTGTAACAAGATTTCTTTGTAGAAAGAAAGAGGAAGGAAGGACAAAAGAAAATGGGAATTGGCTAAAACTCTATGTCTGTGTTTGAAAATTGGTTACAGGGTGAGTCTCCTTTATCCGGAATCCTGAAATCTGAAATACTCCAAAATATCCTAACTTTTTTTCATGAGTGGCTGAGATAATGACACCTTTACTTTCTGATGGCTCAATGTGCACAAACTTTATCTCATGGACAAAATTATTTAAAATATTGTATAAAATTACCTTCAGGTCAGGTTGTAAGATATATATGAAACATAAATGAATCTTCTGCTTAGACCTGGGTCGTCCCATCTTCCATTATAGACCTTAGACCTGGGTCGTCCTGCTTAGACCTTAGACCTGGGTCGTCCCATCTCCCATTATATATATATGCAAATATTCCAAACTCTGAAAAATGCAGAAATCCAAAACGCTTCTGGCCCCAAGCATTTTGGATAAAGGAGACACCACCTGTATTTTTCAATGTAAAATAGTAGAGGGGAGCTAAGTGACTAAGGGCCTTTGCAGACTGCTAGAAATAGTGCAAATTGAGTGCACTTTTAGGGTTAGGGTTAGGGTTAGGGAATCATGGGAACTGTATTTTATTGTGGCACCAGAGCTCTCTGACAGAGAAGGCTCAATGTCTCAGAAAAAAAAAAAAAACAATTCCCATGATTCCCTAGAACTAACCCTAACCCTTAAAGTGGACTCAATTTGCACTATTTTTGGAAGTGTGCAAAGGCCCTATCTTAAATAGAGAAGTGCTGCTGTGGATGCTTCCAGGAGAAGCTTTTCACCCTTTCCTTTCCCAGAAAAAAAAAGGGGATCTGGAGGAGTCAGGGGGAGGGGGCTTCACAAACCGGATTGGGGTCCCCATGCAGCACCAAGCCAGCCTTCCCTTCCTCAAGCCTCTAAAGGGCTCCCCAATTTTCCTGTGTTTGCTTTACAATGGAAGCTGAGATCCTTTCTGCTGGTGCCATTTTCCTTGACACATCCTGGACTCACCAGGAAGCTGAAGAGGCAACAACCCACAGCATTTCAGCAGCTTTTGCAAACTGCAGATGAAGTGTTCCATCTCTGGGGTGCATTCACATTATACAATCATAGTGCTATGATTCCAAGATAAGTGCTGTGGCTGCATCCTGTGGAATCCTAGGGCTTGCAGTTTGGGGAGGCAATAGAGCTCTCTGGCTGAGGATTTTAAGTATCCCTCCCTAAATTGGGAATCCCAGGATTTCACAGGATTTTGTCATGGCAGTTACCAGTAAGTGCCAGCATGGTGTAGTGCGGTGATTCCCAAATTTTGGTCCTCCAGATGTTAAGGACGTCAGTTCCCAGAATTTCCCAGAGTTGGCCAAGTTGGCTGGGGCTTCTGGAAGTTGAAATCCAAAACAACGGGTGGACCAGAGTTTGGGAACCACGAGTGGAGTGGTTTGAGTGTTGGACTATGATTTTGGAGACTCAGCCATGGAAACACACGGGGTGAAATTGGGCAAGTCTCAGCCTCAGAGGAAGGAAAAGACAAACCCTCTCTTGCAAAGAAAGCCCCAGGACAGGGTCGTCATAAATTTGAAATTAATTGAATGCTGAAGGCACACAATAACAATAACTCTAACCTGCAAATCCCAGAATTTCACACGGTGTTCCATGATAGCTAAGCAAGAGTGCAGGTACTGGGGGAAGGCAGGCAAAATAATGGGAAAGTCCCTTCAAATAAGAATTTTGTCCCACCAATGAAATTGTCCTTCTGTCCCCAAATTTCAGTGAGACACTGAAGATCACTCAATGCTTTTTAACATCTATATTTGCTGTGTTTGCCTTTTTCCTTGGTTACCCCTGAGGTACAACCCTGGAATTAAAACGGAATGATAGTGCCATGATTATGATCCTGTCTGCACTAGTCCTGGAGTATCTTGGCCCCAGAGCTGCCCCAAGTCCCCCAGAGGCACAACCCACTCCAATGTATTCAAATGACAAGAAAAGCGATTCCAATCCCAAAACAGGAAGAACATATGGATGGCAAAAACCTTAGAGTTTCCTGGTATCAAAGAAGGTTTTACTCCCTTTAGGTTGTTTCATAACCTGTTCTATCCAAGAGCGGAGAGTGAAAACAATTCCATTTTTGTTGTTGATCTGCAAGACGGGCTGTTGGGTAACGAAAGCCTTGTGAGGGTGAAACCACACAAGAGCCACATGTTTGATGATGGACAGATGTGGAAAAGAAAGTTGTTCTAGGGAAAGGAAAGAAGGAGAGCTAAGACAGGCCTAATTTTGGACGTAAGGAGGGCTGATCATGAGACAATCAGTAGGAAAAGAGGAAGACTGCATTTCAGATAGATTGATTCAATGGCTGCTCTGCGTTTGCAAGACCAGAGCATTGATGCTGATGACTATGTCTCATGGAGCCATCACAAGTTGCGACTGACGTAAAACAAGTAACAACAGCTCCTTGTGTGTTCCAGACAACCATTTTGTATGCTCTTGCTTTTGCCATGCTGAGCCTCCCGGATCTCCAAATTTAGTGCCCCATATCCTTATGTGGCATGGTTAGTTTTCCACACTGAGGATGCCCTCACGGCTCCATGCCTAAGGCATCCCTTTTGACATCAACTTAATATCAGAAAAGAGGGACGAGGTGGAGGGAGGCTAGACCTTGGAGTAACAGAGGATTTCCCTAAACTGAAGCAAACTTGACAGCACCTATTTGGAGGGCTGCTAAATGTAGCCATTCCATGGAACTTGATAGTAATAGCTCTTTGAAAATGGGAAGGACTCCCTTGGGAAGTGATAAACTCTCCTTCATGGAACGTTGTTTAAAAGGTTGGATGCCCACCTCTCAAAAACGCTTTTGCTATGGAGTCCTGAACTGTTGTGGAATGGGACAGAATAACCTTTGGGATACTTGCAAATCTACAATTCTATTATTCCATTTTTTCCCCACTCTTGCAAAAATAAAAAGCAGCCCTACTCCAGAGGTGGAACCTTGTTGGTTAGTTTCAACTGGAGGACACCATTTATTAGATCAAGTGTTGAATGGAGAGACTACATGTGAGTAAACCCAACTGATTCAATAGCTCTACTCTAGCCTCGGCTAACAATAGCTCTGAGGCCACAGCCCCCCATTTCCTAGACTGAGAACTTCCCCTTGGAGTTTTGTATTTTTAAACCTTAGCCTCTTCCAAATGGTTAACGTTTTATGTTACACTAAGCAATTAAATGTACAAGACATTTGAGCTTTTAAGAGACTAAGCCAGCCTCCTTATCTGTACATCCTTCACTAACAGCCTTTGGAATGAGACTGGAATGTAAGTCAAGCATCCAAATGTCGAAGAGGGAACAACTGTCCCTTGGCTCCGCTGTACCATCCATCCTCACCCTCGCAGGCACTCCACCGGGAACTTCATTCTCCTCCTGTTTCACCCAAAAAGTGTCAGGAAAAACAATCGACTACACATTATTCCCTCTGCCTCCTCCAACTCTCAACTAATCACTACCTTGAATGACGTTCATTCCACCTTATGTCAAGGAAGTGGGCTCTGGCAACAAAAAACAAATGCGTTTTGAATACCGAAACGCTGCCACCGCTTTCCAGCTGACAATAAGGGCGGTTCGACAGTGGAAGACACTCCTTCCTCGGAGAGTGGTGGAGTCTCCTTCCTTGGAGGTCTTTAAGCAGAGGCTGGATGGCCATCTGTCGGGGATGCTTTGATTGGGAGTTCCTGCATGGCAGAATGGGGTTGGACTGGATGGCCCTTGGGGTCTCTTCCAACTCTATGATTCTATGATTCTATGATTCTATGAAAGGGGGAAGGAAGGGGCACCCCACTCCTCAAACCCAGCCTCGGTGGTACCTGGTTCCTCCCCATGCCTCTCCTTCTCCGGCTTCTGGTCTTCCTTGTCTGGAGAAGTCGGAGGCGACTGGAGAGAGATGAACGATGGCAGTTTGGCAAGCTTGCTGGTTTGAGAGAAAGACCAGGGGTGCCAGGCATTTGCCTCCGGCTCCGATCTGGAGGGCCCTGCTATTTCTTCTTCTTCTCCTTCTTCCTTCTCCTCCTCCTCCTCCTTTCTGTAAGAGAGAAAAAAGAGCAATGCTTACAACAGAGTTCCTCGGCTAGGGCTCCCTGGAACCTTAAGGTTTCCGTGAGAGATTGTAGCTGGAAAAGAAACAAACCATTTTTTCCAAGCTGTACATATAATAAGTAATTACTATATAAATACTTAAGAGAGCCAGGGTGGCATAGTGGTTTGGGTATTGGACTATGACTCTGGAGACCAGGGTTTGAACCCCCACTTGCCCATGAAACCCATTGGGTGAGCTTGGGCAAGTCACACTCTCTCAGCTTCAGAGGGCGGTAATAGCAAACCCCCTCTGAACAAATCTTGCCAAGAAAACCCTGTGATAAGTTCACCTTAGGGGCACCGTAAGTCAGAAATGACTTGAAAGCACAAAACAACAACAACAGTACTAGCTTTAAAATACTACAAAGTACTTACCTAAAAAGACTACAAAGTATGTACCTAAAAGTAGTACACAAAGTATTACAAATGACCATTACTGTTGGACTATAAGTCCCATTGTCCATTGTAATATTTACCAATGTTAAAAGGAACCGGTTGTGGTTCGGCACCTTCAAGTCGTTTTTGACCTATGGCGACCCTAAGGCAAACCTATCATAGGATTTTCTTAGCAGGTTTCTTCAGAGGGGGACTGTCATTGCTATCCTCTGAGGCTGAGAGAGTGTGACTTGCCCAGGGTCACCCAGTGGGTTTCATGGCTGAGTAGAGATTCGAAGCCTGGTCTCTGGAGTCAGCATTTATAAGTATAAGTTGAATTTCCCTTATCTGAAATGTTTTGGACAAGAAGTCTTTTGGATTTTGGACTTTTCTTTTGGATTTTGGAGTACTTGTATCTGCATATATGTACATAATGAGATAACCTGGAGATGGGACCCAAATCTGAGCAGAGAATTCATTTGTGTTTGAGATGCACATTACACAGATAGCTGGAAGGTAAGTTTATACAATATTATAAATAATTTTGTGCATGGAACAAAGTGTGTGTACACTGAACCATCAGAAAGCAGAGGTGTCACTATCTCAGCCACTTTTGGAAAAAAAGTTTTGGATTTTTGGAACATTTTGGATTTCAGAATTCTGGATATGGAGTCTCAATGTGGCATCATGGTTTGAGTGTTAGAATAGGACTCTGGAGACCAGGGTTTGGTTCCCAGCTCGGCCATGAAACCCAGTGGGTGACCTTGGGCAAGTCACACGCTCTCAGCCTCAGGGGAAGGCAATGGCAAACCTCCTCTGAACAAATCTTGCCATGAAAACCCATGATAGGTTTGCCTTAGGGGCATCATAAGCTGGAAATGGCTTCAAGGCACCCAGGCACCGCCACCCATTCTGCAGAGTGCATATATACTTTTATATTTATATACCGTAGATGAGATCCATCTCATTTCCACTCTTGACTGCTTTAAAAAGGCAGTAAAGACGGATTTTTTCCGGCAGGCCTTCCTTCCCTGAATAATATCCCAGCCCAGAAGACAAAGATAAAGACTCTGGCCATTGCTCTTCTACCGCCTTGTTTATTTGTGCTGCTAATTTATGTATTGTATGTCTTTATTCATTAGTATTTTAACTCTGTATTAGTTTAATATATTTTTAAGGGGCGGGTGGGTTAGGGAATGGGTTCTTGGATTTGTTTTAACTTCCTGTGATGTTTTTAATTTGATGTACGCTGCCCCGATTGTGCTGCAGAGGGGCGGGA